AAATGATAACGCTGTGGCAAAATTAATTGATTGATGTAGAAATGGGATAATGGTTGTATGGTAGAAAATGGATATGTCGTGGAAAATTTAATTGTATAACATGCAAGCAGATGAAAATGTCAAGGCAAAATAAAATGTAAATACTAGATTTAATTTATAGGACTTTAGCTTTCTCACACGACAAGCAGCAATGAGAATGAGTGATTGGAGTCACTAGGAAAATCTAAGTCTATTTCTCCAAATGGTATTTCCTCTATGATTAACCAGCCCGACAGAGTCTACTGAAGTGCCCTAAGCTATCTCTAGTAAGGGACTCGACATATTAAAAATGCCCTGGAAAATTCGATTGGCGTAAACCCCTGCAGTGATCCTATTAGTTCATATATCAGGATATGTCTCGGCAATACCTTTTTGCGGCAGCATTAACATCTAATCTATCGATTTTGCTCTACTCCTTTTAGTCGAATAAAATCCTATCCTTATCTCTAAGGTGTATTAGGCCTAGTTACTACCTAGTACCCGTTGTTTATGTAATTCCTCCCTAGCTTCTCTCGAAGACTAAAGATAAACTACCTAGTCATTCTCTCAAACCCTAAGCACCTTCTAAGGAAAGGATACTCCCGTAGCTCCTACAACCTCAAAGCATTAAGTTTCATAAACAAAATAGATTAAAGCATAATAAAACAACCATTCATTGAAAATAAAACTTAGACATCCAAGCGAACTCCCACCAAATAAGAATAGTTCATTGTGGGGTTCGAAATAAACAAGTTTAAGACAGGTTTCATTCGTTCCTTACAACCCAATAACAAAATATGAAAGCAAAGAACAAAGGGGATGAGAGAAAGCCTTTGACGTGCACTGCTCAATGCTCCTCTCGGCCACCAAGAACTGCTCACAGCGGACTGGATCCTCTCGGATGCTCATAACGCCACTCCCTCAGGCTTGTCAAAGAGAAATGCCATGGCAAGTAGGATTGACGGAGAAAGATGAGACTTTCTCTCTCTAACTTTTTAAGCTCAAATCTATGTGGAACTAAAGTCTCTAACAATGTGGTTTCATCCTCTATTTATAGGGGAAAATTAACCCTTGAACTAAGAGTTGACTTTCCCAAACCATGGTTAACTTTGCTTGGGAGTCGGGCAAGATAGGTGATGATACAGCCTGGGTAGCTGGCATGAGTGACCGGTATAATCCCGTTGCAGGCGCCCAAGGACAGACAGGATCTGCAGGGTCAGGCGGCGTCATCAGCAGAACTGGCGGTTGTAGCGCCGATCCTTCCAGGCGTATCTTCGAGGTGGATTTCTCGGGCAGAGCTCTCGGACAGTTGGATACAGTTGACTTCAAAAATATCTTCTCGCACTTTCGAAATGTCGGTTGAACTTGGCAAATTCATTTTGCTCAGCAATCTCCTTATGTCACGGCATTTTCTTTCCTATTTTCCTTGCTCTCAATACCTGCACATCATCAGACAAGTACCTTTCCCATAAAGCAGCATCACTGTAAAAATAAAATGCCTCGACAAACCGAAATCCACCACATGCAACTACATGGTTCTAAATGCCTCTACATGGTTCTAAATGAGCCTTTAGACATTCAATAACTTAAGTTAAAAGGTCCCAAAATATGGCCTTTTACGGAATTATTACAATACCATTCTCAATAATTGGAGATTTCATGGGATTCACTTACTTGCCACTCTCGTATTTCGGCTTTCTGGTTGTGCTTTTCATAGGCTATTTTACTGTGGGTCAAGTGGTCAAGAGGATATACATTATGATCTACAAAAAATGGCTTTAGATATATATATATCTCTTGCTTTAAGAAATACAAGGCAATGCGGGAAGAATTTTTTGTTCATTGCGCATTGCTGAGAGAAAGTACATACTTTCACATAGTTTTAACGGAATTTGACTTTAATATTTTTAAAATTTTCTTTTTTTTAATTATCGATATTTGATATATTAATCGATTAATTCAAATTAAAGTTTATATATCCCTTTGAAGGTGAGATGCCAGTCTCTTCAGCAAAATCTTATGTGCAAAATTTATCAAGCTAATAGGTGGGTAATCTCTATAGAGCGACGGAATTCGCATCTAAAGTTAATTAATTTCGTTTGGTGTTTAACAAGTTGAAAAACAAGAACTAATATTTGATAAAAGGGTTATTCTAAATTAGATAATATATTTAAGGGTAAAGTACACAAATGGTCCCCTAACTATAGAATATTGTTTTATTAAGTACATCAACTATTAAAAGTTACAAAATAGTCCTTTGACTATACGGAGTTGCTTTGTTGAATCCCTTGACAATTAAAAATTACAAAATGGTCACTTAACTATTCATTATGTTCCAAACTCGTCTTCTTCCGTTAAAAATTTGATGGCAGTCTGAGATGTACGTTAACCTTGATAAAGTACACAAATGGTCCCACGACTATAGGATAATGTTTTATTGAGTTCCTTGACTATTAAAAGTTACAAAATGGTCACTCAACTATTTATTATGTTTCAAACTCGTCCTTTTATGTTAAACAATTAACTGTCATTTAAGTTGGACATTAACAATTTGACTGAGATATGATAATCATTTGAGATTATGATATCAGATTTTATCATATCTCAATCAATAGGTTAAGTACATCTCATATTGTCGTCAAAATTTTAACGGAAAAGGATGAGTTTAGAACATAATTAATAGTTTGGTGAACATTTTGTAACTTTTAATAGTCGAGGGACTCAACAAAGCAAATTTCTATAGTCAATGGATCATTTTGTAACATTTAATAATCAAGTGACTCGATAAAACATTATCCTATAGTGAGGGACCATTTGTGTTATTGTTATAAACCTATAAACAGAATCGAGCTTAAATCTCATTTCTTAGAATATATTGCTTTCTTTCTTCTTCTTCTTTTACTTTCTAAGTGTTAATCATTAAAATATTAATACAAATTATTGAGATGGTGTTAGTCTTCTATTATTGTTCAAATTAAGAGAAATTAATACAATATGACATTTTCTAATGGTAGAGAAAAAAGTCAACGGAGAATCTAAACACTATCAACGTGTATTCAAAGAATAATAACAATAACTCTTTTATCATTGAGGTCAACTGGTTCTAGCAAATAAAATAAAGTTATTTAAGTAAAATGATAAAAATAAGTAATGTCATATATTATCAAGAGTAAATGGTTCTAAACGTTGCCATATTTTTCACTAAAATGTAATTTTTAAAATAATTAAATTTATCTCCGATTAAGATTGAGGAATGATCAAAGATCGCATGAAATAAATATTAATTCAGATGGCGTTGCAAGGGATGATGGTTAAAGGAATTATTGTTATTCTTAGAGATCTCAAGTTCATGCACCGGAGACTACAAAACATTTGAACGTTTATCGTCAAATGGTTAAGAGTCTTTAAAACTAATACTACCACTTGTAAGCACCCTAGATTAATCAAATAAATTATTTTCTATTTTAATTATTAAAATTTTTATAAATAAATTGAAACGAATTAATTGAATAATGTGGATTAATTTGTGAATAAATTATGTTAAACACGGTTATATTTTTTATCACCAAAAAAAATCAGATAAATATATCCGAATTTTTAATTTTTCTCTTCGGAAAAATAATCCCAATTCATATGATATCAAGGAATGGCGATGATTAATTATTATGTATATGAGTATTACTATTAATAGGTAGAATAGGTCATTTATCCCAATACATGTAGGAGCATTAAACCAAAATACTCTCAAGGCTGCTTCTCATTCTTAGCCGTGCCGTGGCTCGAGACCCTTTTATTCTTTCCTCGTCTTACGTCCTTCAAAATATCATAAACAATTATAATATACACATAACTCGGCTCTGATTCGATCGAAGAAAACAAACATTTATTATCATTCTAATTATATTTTATGCAAATCATAATTAATGAATGATATTTTTGGTACATATTAATATATGATTTTAGAAATTATTAGTATATTTTAAACGAAGAGAAATCTTGTATTTTGCTGACAAACACGTTCATTAATAAGAGAATGATATAGTAAAATAATATATGACTTTTGTGAACATCGGAGTAATTACGCATGCATTAATAAGAGAATTATATAGTAAAATAATAATAAATAAAATAAATAAATATTATTATAAAATTAAAGAAAATGTAGGGATAAGAGATAGAACAAGTTTATTTCTGTCTTGAGATTGTTATCCGAAATAACAATTTGAGACAAAATCAATCTTGAGAAAATATAAGTTTATATATACACAATCACACTATCACACTGACCTGTAATGCAAAAGATGTTTTGTCCATACGACTATGCGAGGAAGCTTCTTGGAAGCTAGGTGGAAATTTATTTTTCCCGCATGTTGTCTATATCTATACACAATTCAAGCAATAATCATGAACCATTTTTGTTTCTTTTCATAAAAGAAATTCCAACATGGACTTTTCTGAACCAGGCTACGCATGTAAGAAGCACTCAAACCACCAAGGTGTCTGCCCATCTTGTCTTAGAGAAAGATTATCTCGTCTTACTTGCGTTTCACACAAAGGAGCTTCAAGGGTTGCTTCTTCACTATACTTTTGTCATGCTGACTCCTACTCTGGTTCATCATCGAATTTTACGTGAGCGAAACAGTTTCATGGGAATGTCGTCGTCTTCCACGCTGAAGGGCGGTACCAGTAATGGGTTGAAGAAGAGTAAATCGATTGCTTCCTTACCAAAAAACCTGGATGACGATGGGGAGGCTTGAAATGGGGAAAAGAAAAAAGGGTTTTGGTCAAAGTAGATGCATTTACATTTCAAGGAGAGGAGGATGTTCTGACGCATTCAACAAGTATGAGACTAATGATAGGAAGAGTGAAATAATTCTGCATTTTTTCTCATTCATTTGTTGATGTTGCAGGGATGGGAAAGAATGCTTAGGCTTGAATCCAGTGTCCTGGTATTTTGTAAATGTTGCTTCTTTCGTTAATCTTGAAGAAACACAATACTATATATCACGTATAAGAAGCTGAATGCCTGTGTTCGGTTCAAATTACAGAAATAGCTTTTAATCAAGGGGAATGATTTTTGTCCCCTATTGTATTAGTCTGAAATTTCCTGCTGCCGACTCCAATGCAGCAAAAACGCGTTCCCTTCACTACTACCTCACGACTGTAAATATTCGGGGGGCCATTTGATCTGTACATTCCGTATCAGTTTCCGCAACAGCAACAAGTTCATTTTTCTGAATGAATTACCATCATCGTGTAGAATCCTTGATCTAGATTTCTTTGTCGTCCTCCTCTTCATTTTCATCGCTGTGGTCTACTGACGGCCGCTTCAGTCTCTGGAATATCTCGTCCAGGGATTCAGAATCAGATGAACCGATGGGGGGAATGAGTCTGCCTTCCTGATTCTGGCGTAGAGGGACAAGCTTTCTGGCTTCAATATTTGCTTTAAAATTTTGGAAACCGGATTTCATTGACCTCCATGTTGAGGCCAATCCAGAGGATGGCCCTCCCTTCTGGCTACCAGAATGTGAGTTGCTTGCTTCAAGCACTGAGACCCTAGCAGAGGTTGTTTTATTTTCCATCAGTTTTGGATTTGACATTTCTCGACCCTGTTCTCTCATGGCAGCATACTTGTTGCTGATGACCTCTCTGCTCGAGGCATATTTTCGGGTTTCTTCTTTCGTAGGCCTTGAGGGAGATCCCTTCACACCACCAGTGGCTGAAATGGTTGCTGCCTTCATTTCTACAAATGTACGATCCTGAACATTTCACATCAAATTAGAAATTGAACATAAACCTAGGCTCATTCCTTTTGATAGAAACTCAACCAAAAGCCTTTAGATGAGAAATAAAGAAAACATATTGCAGATTAGAAATAATAGACAAGTAATTCATAAGATCTTTGATTAGTTGCACGATAAAAAGACTATCTTTTAAGAGTGATTACATACTGCAATATTGTTGCCATGCTCAATATCAGCTCCATTGAAATTCCTAGCCAATGGAATTACTTGTTCACCAACCTGGCATCCTTGTTCAAGCCAAGATCGCTCTGTAAAGAGCAAAAGACTTTTATTAACTGCTGGTCATACATCTAAATAATTCTTACAAGGAATTTAAACCATGATAAATAGTAGATATTTGCAGAATCCCAAATCACAGCTGCTCCCCTCATGATAATACTTATCATTCCGAACCGAAAGAAAAAAAAGACTTTTTGCCATCACCAGACTCAGAGCAGCATTAAATATGGAAAATTGTTACATGACAGTCCGTCATCTCTTGAAGGAGTCACATACACATCTAAGCCGTTGACTTGCTTTCATCATGAACAAGCAAGTGATAAACAACATAATATAAAAAAAATGGACTATTGACTATAGTAGTATCCATCATTCCCTACAAAAGTGGCGGATTGTGAGGAATGTAAAGTCATTAATTATTTCTTTCACCATCGTAACCTTAACTCTGTAACGAAGTGTCGCTGTGAACAGAAAAGGCAAGACCACTAACTATAATAACAATCCTATCATGCAAATGTCCAATAAACTTCTTAAACTTTGCATTTCAGGTAAGATTATTTATTTATAGTGATTACTATTTAGTCGAATGAAGATTGACATCCTTACCCTTTTCCAGGATAATTAATCCTGAGGGATCGAATCCATCCATATCATCTGCCTCAGTTTGAAATCTAAGTCTCTTCCAGTTCCCAAAGAAACCAACTACATGATCAAAGAAATTACCAGCAACTAACAAGGTGTAAACAACCATGATAAGTGGATAAATGTTGTTGAACCCTTTTCCAAAGAAAGGTACGGCATCATCAATGTTCCCCATTCGCTGCAATGAGAAGTTTAAAGATTACAATTCAAAAACCATACAGGGGAAGAAAAATATTAGCACACATGCCTAGTTTGATAACAAAGCAGAAAAGTAGAAAATAAAATTTAAAAATTTAAAAATGAACCAAATATGGTACAGTGCAAAATATTGTTTTTGTGAAATTTGGGGACAGGAAGTCGAGACATGTTTCGGATCAGACAAAAACTACCAAGTTTTATATGAAAGCCAACCAACGAAAAAAGATAGTGGGAATCAAATGTTGCTTTACTGAAAAGATGTTAATGTTATGTGTAAGCGTCCTGATTTCTCTATAGAAAATCCAAAGATCACCAAATGAGTGTTCACTCAAAGAAGTTATCACCGAAAGTAAAAACAGCTTTTCTTCCTCTTTTTTTGGAATGGAAAATGAAGCAATAAGCCAGCTCCAAGGCTAAAGCAGCTTTTCTTACATTTTTCTTTTTTGGTGGCTAATAGTGATAAACCAGATTAGAAAATAAAACTAGACACACTAACACTAGCATTTTCACCTTACAAACCAAATATTGTAACATTTTGAAACAGATGAAGACAATATTTTTTTTACAATGGCTAATAGTGATAGACAGTCGGACACTAAACCAGCACTATGTACACATACTAACAGTATTATCTTCCCCCTCTAAACCAAAAAGGTTCAAACATTTTGAAACAGATTAAAAATAATTTCTGCACTATTTCAATCACTTTGTCCATTACAAATGATATGTTGAGTGCCAATTTAGTAATTGACGGGGCCAAGCCCTATTTATCTTTCTTGCAATTTCTATAACCACTGGATGCAATGTTCAGCAGCTAAAGAATGAAGTAGGAGAATTACCTTTTCAAATATGGTCTTTTTACCATGAAGGCTAATAAGATTGAGAAAGTTGTAAGAAATTGGGGGAGCATATCGAGCAACCATCCTAGTAGACATGTTTATCAGTATTTTGATTACCAACATAAAGATAAACAAATTAATTAATTAAAAGGGAAAAAAGAAAGCCAAAGCAATAGATTTCCAAGGTAAACTTACGAGCATATCATGAGCAAGCTGACTGAACTAGTCTGCCGTGGTGTTAATGAGTAAACATTAACATTCCGACCTTGAACAAGGAAAATATGTGCAGATGCACATATACATCAAAGGTACAAAAGCAAAGGCCTGGAAGAAAAATCAATCAGCAGAAAAGTGGGAAAAGAAGAGGATGGTCCAGCAGAGAACACATTATATGGAAATATCTAACAAAAGATAAGATGTCAAAGTGGAAACATGCACAAAGGGAACTACAGATTGCCAAATTAAAATTTTCCAAGACCATATTCCTAGCTCAATCAAATAATCGGATCAAGATTACAGAATCTCAATGAAATTACAAGATTTGAATCTCTTCATAGGAGAAAAATGCAAAACTTTTACCTGTACAAGCACCTCCTCCTCCTTTACTGAATTTATAAGGATAGAGAAAAGAGACAGGTCAACTCCTCTAGGTAAAAGTGTAGCCTCAGCTAAAAGAATTGCTGCAGATATGATGCCGAGTATAACAGCCAAAATCTTCTTTAGTTGTTTCCATAGGATGCATCGCCAAATAAATACTGCAAAAAGATTCATCATTTGTGTTAAAACCTATTATAATCCAACTTTTAGACATGGATAGAAAAGGAATATATACATCCCTCCTGCACACAACCAATAACCATAAAAAAGGCAGCTTTCTTTCAGAATACATTTACTTATAAAATGAATATAATACATCCTTATAAACCAGAAAAAACCAAGAAGATAATTTAGAGTGTTGATTTCAAATGATGACTCCAACAAATTTATCAGAGAAATTAGGCAAAGTTAAAGAACAAAAGTTCTAAGGTCTCCCCAGAACTAAACATAGCAGAGAATCATGAAACAAGGAAAATACTGATTGTGCAACACAAATTTTTTTTTTGATAGGAATAGTAGGCCTCACTAAAAACCCCCTTCATGATTAAGGGAACTTGAAAATAGTTCCTTAATCAGCGGAAGGAGGAAAAGAGTGCCCTGGGAATTCATTAATCTTAAAACATTACAAAGTAATACAATGTCAAATCTCCCTCCAGAGATAAAAAGCCAAAAAGAACCAGCCCTTAACAGAACATAATACTCAACCAATACCAGCCTTAGCTAGAACATCCGCCTCTATATTGGCTGTTCTACTAACCCATCTAATAAGACCTTCATAAACACTAAGCTTTTGAATAATTTCCTTAACAACTTGAACATAAACGACAGGACAAGAACCAACATCCTTGACCCAACCGGTTCGACATACCTATTGTATCTAAGAGTGTTCCTGTCTTCCCAGTGCGACCAGGTCTGAAACTTGATACATATTTCCTGAAATGAAATCAAATATGAATATTAATGATTGAGGAAAAGCATCTAGAAAGTTGTAAAATTATAATAGACAGACGAAAACCATCCGGTTGAACTACGACATTCGTAATTTTTTATTGTATCTTCAAGGTGAAGCGCCTCTGAGACATAGGTCATATACTCACTGCAAAACCAACCATTTCAGATATAAAGAAGCAAAAGTTTCAAATACAAAATCAGAATCAAAGTTTAAATGCACTCTATTGAAACCTAGGAATGAATCACCATTTTCCAGAATATATAAAACAGTTTGAAGATGGTATATAATTTGGATTAAGTGGATGATCTGGGATAATATCAAATTGAAAGTGTAATATCGGCAACCAGTTTACCTTTTGTAACGATAATACTCTTCTCGAGCTAGCCTAAGATGACGCCTAAGTGTTGCCATTGATTTCTCATCTGAATCATAGTCCATATCATTTTCTCCCAACTTACCACCTTGTGGCTTAAAGGATGGGTCTTCCCTAAACTGGAGAATAAATGGAGCATATAAAGTCGGAACTATTCCATAAAAAATATCCTTGTTCGCAGAAAAGCTTGCAAATAAACACGGAAAATACCATTTGAGCCAACATATTATCAATGACATCCATGTATGGTCTCAAAGGATCACGCTTGGACATTTGTTTGGATGTTGCTTGGGCAACCTGATAAAGCAAATGAATAGTTAGACAAAACAATCCATTACAAGTAACATAAAAATAGCAGAATAAAGTTTAGCCACGGAGGAAAAATAAGCGTTGTATAAATTGCTAATAAATAGATTGCTAATAGCATGTGGAAACTACAAAGCATTTCACTTGCAAAAATGTAAAATGACCAAATATGTGTGTGTTCATGCCTACATGCATGCATGATGCATGTGACAAAGAAAGTAAGAATGAATGTCAGAGAGGTCTTCACATGCATGCATATGAATATCTACTAAAACAATTCATTATTCTACTAGGGATAACATCTGCATGTAACAAATATGTACAATGGGTACAGCAAATACCACAATAGCATTTGAAAGCTCCTGATGAGCTTCATCAAGCTTCATAGTCATTTTGGCAACTTTGTGCGAGAGAACTTTTTGGCGAATGGTCCAATCTGCATTTCTCCAAAGGGTCTTTGGAATTTCACTCAAGCCAAACCCAAGAAGAAATGCTCCTGTAACTAGTCCAAATGTATTGGACAAGGCCATAGCTAAACCAAGGATACCACCACTCCTGTCAAGATAAAGTTATCAAATTACAAGTTAAAAGAACAATGAGTCAGATGGCATACAAGGAAAACCTTCTCTGTCCATTTTCCTATACTTTGTAGAAAGCATCTGCATGTAACATATCTGATCTATAAAAGAAAATTCAGATTCAGAACATAGAATAATAAAACAAGGCAAGAGATGCCAGACACTTAGAGGAAATGTAAGAACTTGAAACGACTTCCAATACAATCCCAATCTTTAAAAGACAAGCAAGGTCATATCAAATATAATATTATAAAACCGAAGAAAATCAGCAATTTATAAAGAAAGAATAATGTACCAGTTCCTGTTCATTGTGATGAGGAGAATAAGTCCCACAAGACCAATAGAACCCACTACTGAATAGAAGACTAAGTTGACATGCACACTAGTCTTCAATCTTTCAGTCACGGAGAAGTCTCCAGCATCTTCAAAACCCTGAATAAGGGGCACCACAGCCCTGCTTACCGATAACATAATCGATTATACAAGGAAATGCACAACAATCTAGAAAACCAACTTCAAGAATCATCTCTACTTGCAACAGAACCATCCGGCAACAATAACAAAATGGACAATAACAAAAGGTACAAGTACAACCTTAAGTCATCATTTCAAACCCACCTGAAAAGCTGACAGCAAAGTAACAACAATATGGATACAGACTTGATCCGGCAAAGTACAAAACCATCCGGCAACAATAACAAAATGGACAATAACAAAAGGTACAAGTACAACCTTAAGTCATTCATTTCAAACCCACCTGAAGAGCTGACAGCAAAGTAACAACAATATGGATACAGACTTGATCCTTCTAACATTCAGAGGGTGAACAAAAGGTAAATCTAAGAAATATATACATTCCCAGGGAGAATTTCAAATTTATAGAAAATTTAACCAAATGTGATAAAAAGAAATTAATCTAGAAAACAGCACATTTGCATATCCAACAGAATTTCAGTTCCAAAAATGCTCATAAATTAACGAACTGTAAATAAACTAGAAAGAAATCCGTTCGAGGAAAAAAACGTACCAGGTAAGGAGAAAGGTACCCCAATAAGACCAGCTCCAAAAGAACGAAATTCCTCCATTTTCATTAGCATTTTCCGGCTTTGATATCGTCTGCACAAAATTTAACAGAAAAAATTCAAATTCTGGTAACCCTATCTTATCAAAAGAAAAAAAACGATCGATTAAATAAACCAAAATTTGGAACAGAATTATTTATATAAAGAAAAGGGATTAACCGTCCAAATATCGGCGGGCACAAGAATGATGATGGAGAGAGAACAGAACCAAGCATATCCGACGGTGAAGCGGACATAACGAGGGACATCGGGGCCAGCGAAGTACCTCAAGGTGAAAACAACCATGCCTAGGGTTAAAGGCAACGAGATCAGGTAAAATACCCACATTTCTCCTTGCCTTTAAACTCCAATTTTAGAGGATCTGGTCAGTGCGCGATGAGGATGTGGAAATATTGGAATCGGTTTGGCGTTTGAATGGAAAGAGGGAAATGGAGGAAGAAACACCCAAACCCCAAGAGAGACCAAAAACTAAAACACCCAAATGGGAAAGAATAATAGATGATTCTTCATTTGTTTAATTGTTGATTCCAAGTCATCTTGTTTTAACGCTCAAGCAACTCCATACCATGAAACTTCCATACCATTTTCATTTAGTATTTTATTTAGGTTCACTTTCCTTTCTCAATTGGTTGTCAACATGGATTTTTAAAAGGGTAAATTCATATAACTGTCTTTTTCTATTCAATTTTATTTATTTATATCATTGATTTTTAAAAGTATGAATAACTAATGATGTGATATATTATTATAATTAGATTTAAAAAAAAATTAAGTTTACCTATATATTTTACAAATATATTAATTTGATCCTTAAATTCGACTCTTAAGTCGATCAAAATCTCTCCGAGAACCATCGTTCACTACCATCGTTGATCATTTTCAGTTGTTTTCGACAACCGTACATTAAGCAGTTGTGGGTTAGTAGCTTGGTAATAGAATGACAAAGAAAGTAATATATATATGTATATAGCATTTGTACGAACTGCACGGATGGACAGAGGGAACGGACGAGTAATCGCCCCTGAAAATTTAAAATTATCATGTATTTTAAATTTTTTTTCATGTATTTTCTATTGGAAAATTTGTTTATGCCTCTAGAATTTTATGAGTTTAAGTTTGCCCATGATATAAATCATATGCATGTCCCTAAACAATTGCAAAGGTAAGTAATCGAGTGCATGAGGTTTTACATGTAAAAACATAGCTATCCCATTTTAAATTTGAGCTTTCATTATCAAATGATTAAAAGTTTTTAGAACAGTTACGGCCTCTTGTAATCACCTTAGATTAATAAAAACAAACATAACTATTTAGTTTTAATTCTTTATCAGTTGTCCATTTTCCAATGGCTGCAAAACTAAAACTGAAACGCCTCTCACGTTAAATAACATATCAATAAATCTTATATATATCCGACATACTCAGACATGATAGGAACAAACAAAATTTTATGTTAGGAAATGAATTTATAAAATTTTAGAGGGTAACAAACATATAAAATTTTAGAGACAAAAACATATTATCAATAAAAAAAATACATAAAAAATCTAAAAATATATAAGAGATATTGAAATTTTCGGGGAACGCCTGATCCACCCGTCCCTCGATTTATCCATGAGCATGAATACAAAATTATTAATTTTCATAATTCTTTTTTATAAAAAATAAACATTTCAAATAACAATTTACCTCAATTTGATTAACATAATGGAACTCTTTGTTGTCTGTTTCTGCAAACAGTTTCTATTTAGATATTAAAATCGCATATCGAATGTTACACCTGATATTGAAGCAACATAAAAACAATTTATAAAATTTTAATATAAAATAATTGTAAAACTATATTTAAAGCATGTGAGTTAAAAGATATGCAGATAAAATTAGAAATATAAAATAACAATTTACAACCATACTATAGTGTGATAAAAAATAAGGGTAAATTATGTATGTAGTATCTAAACTATTAGTTTTGATCCATTTTTATACCTAAACTTTTATTTTTTTATAAAAAACATACCTAACATTTAGTTTTTGTTTCATTTTAGTACACACCGTTAAAAACTTAGCGACATGTTACAACTTGACACTTTTTATGGGTAAATTACATCATTTATTACTCAATTATATTCTCACTCCTATTCTGGTCATTGAAGTTTAATTTTTTTAAATTTAATTACTTAACTTTCAAATTACTCCTAATTTTATCACTCTAACTTTCAAATTTAATTTTTATTTAATTATATATTAATAAAATAAAAAATATAATCAAAAAATATTATTATAAAATAAATTAAAATGATTAAAACATGAGCAATTTGAAAATTGAGTAGTTAATTGAATTTTTTTAATCTTTAATGACCAAAACAGGAGTGAAAATATAGTTAAGTGATTAATGATATAATTTACCAATAAAAAATGTCACGTGCAAAAGTTTCGTTAAATTTTTAACAACGCGGGTACTGAAATAGAACAAAAACTAAATGTTTTGTATGATTTTGTAAAAATTTAAAGTTTAAGTACTAAAACATACCATGTGTACTAAATGCGTAATTTATCCAAAAATAATAGAGAAAGTATAAATATGTTTATAGCAATCAATCAACTGATTGATTCAATTGTGATTTTAAAAAAACAAAAATTGAATAATCCATTCATAATCTTATGAATAATTGAATGGTCCAGAATATATTTTACCCTTGAAAAACATTGGCTGTTTAAATCCTTAAAGGCACAACACCAAGTTTCAAAAAAAGAAAAAATGGAGCTCAGCTCCGCTCCCCACTCTTCCATCATTAACTGATTTTTATTTTTAATTTTTGATCAACACCAAGTTTTACTCAATTTGTGCGGCCATCCTTCGAATTAGGGACAAAACTTAAACTTAAGTATTTTTTTATTAAAAGATGACAATCAGATTGTTCGGATCAAATTTAGTTTGGATCTATGATAAGTCGAATTGAATTGGATATCAAATTGAGCTAATATTATATTGATTAGTTTTTGGGTTGGGCCAGTATCATATTAGCCGATTTTATGTTCAATTAATATCATATTGATTAGTTGTTAGGTCATATCAACATCGGATGATCAAATTTTGAGCTTGGTCAAATTAAATCAATCATTTTTAATTTGAGTTAACCTTTAGATCCTCGTATCAATTTAATTTAAATTGAATATGAATATAATCGAGTGTGTATATATAATATATTGTAAAAATGTGTCTTTTGGTTCTCAGCCTTATTATTGATCGCTCATTTCAATCTAATTATTTAATGTTTAAATTCAATCATTATTTAGGGATAACAATTTAATCTTAACTAATCCTTATAAGGTGTGTTAGGGTTTGTGACCTTCATTTCGTATTGATCCAACTAAAAAAAAATTTACGGTGCAACCTATTTGATAAATATAATGATTTTCAATTATAAGTTTTATTCCTAATTAAAATTTCAAGTTTAATTATAAATATAATATTTTTTTTTGTTGAATAAGGTTGAAAGCATGTTTGTGTGGACTTATGGCTTGTGGATTTGGTATGAAAGGTCTAGACATTAGAAATGCATGAAAATGATATATTATGACCTCTTTTGATTTTTATAAGTTTTTAATAATCATATTATGACTTAAAATTAGTATCTGGGATGAGTTAGGTGTGATTTTCGAATATAACATGATACTTTTGGTTTGAATATTGATACAAGATGAACTATGATCAATATATTTTTGAGGAAGAAATTGATATCAATGTTGTAACACTCAATTTGATTAAAATGAAACTCGGTGCGTTCGGGCATTACACAAGACCACCGAAGTGGCTAACCCAAAACTTTTCTTAAACATTTCATTTCTAAAACATAAACCATCGTATTTAAACAAAATAAGATAATGATAGTTAGGTTTACAAACTGGGAGCTCCCAAAATAAATCTCAAAATACAGTAATCCAGTTATGACTCGAATACAAAAGGGTATATGAAATACATGCCCACTAAATAATCAAGACATTCTTGCAATTGGTGATCTGGAAATCTGACTGACTGACAATAAACTCCCGAGTCCGACACCTACTAACCTGTGAACGAAACAATTTTGAAGTTGAGTTACGAGCTCATGTCACATAAACGACTTCACTATGCTACATGCATCCATTAACTACGAATGTTTAGTAAGTTAAGTCATGCTGCAACGAAATGCGTTAAGCATAAATCATAGCATAAAGATATGTAAATACATCATATGAATCAAAATATGGGCTTGCCATTTAGTCACGGAAATTCCTTAGCATTAATACTAAAGTGCCTCAACACTGATATAAAAGTGCATTCACACTGATACAAAAGTGTTATAGCACTAGGAAGAGAATCCATGTATATCTACTTACATATTCGAATAGTGCATGCATACGCTCAAGTAACTCGGGTATCCTCGTTGTTTTTCGAGTATCAAACAAAGTCTAGTTTTATGCCACATAATTTAATGTTGTTGTTCATAAGGGTTTAGGATAATATTCTCACTTGTAGTTTATTTAAGAAACCTCGATGCCCTCATAGCCTATTTTCAAGCTTACAAAGTTAGCAAAGTTTTCTGTCCAAAACAAGACATCAATATTGATACTGGCCTTAGGGTATCGATATTGCCCGAGTATGATACCAATTTAGCTTCAATGTTTCAATTTAATTTCTGTATTGATACCACGATGGAGAGTATCGATACTCTCCCATTGGTATTGATACTCCCATGAGTATCGGTACCAAATTGCATTATAGAATCCTCAAATTGTCCTCACTAGCGATACTACCTCTTAAGTATCGATATCAGACCCAAGTATCAATACACCTTGAAGGAGTATCGATACTCCCTCACGAATTGCTTCATTTTTACCATATTCAAAAAGGAAATATTGATATTGTTCTTCGAGTATCAATATCCCTGCTCGAACATACCTTGTTTAGGCACGAAAGTGACTTCCTAAAGTTCCTCATAAGCCCTCTTAAGGCTACCCAACGTTGGCTAAGTCTTATGGGATTTATAACATCATAAAGAGCTATTTTAACACAACAAGGACATCAAATATACATGCTACCGTTAAAACCCACTTTAAACACATAAAACCAACAAGCAAACAAACAAAGATTTATGACCTACATGTGGTGAGGGGATTCATGTGTTACCTCACTAATAGTTGATGAGAAAGTCCACAAAGGATCACCCTAGCCAAGCTTTTCCTTGTTCTTGCTCTAGAGCTCTCCCCTACCTCTCTCACTAAACAAAGCAAGCAAAATGAACAAAACTCATTTCAACATTTAAGGGAAGTTAGAAACATGTTCCCAAATCCTTAAAAAATATTGGAACCATATAACGTCTTAAAGCCTTAAACCCTATAAAACCCACATTTTTGCCACCATAGTCAAACTTATGATTTTGGATTTCAAATGAAGCTCTAAGGGTGTAGATTACATTTCTTACCTTTAGAATT